TCGGAAATTGAATATAAGTCAGCGTGGTGCGATGTCCGCCCGGCCGCCCGGCCGCCCGGCCGCTAGGTCGCCCGCTCGTCTCGGGGCCCGCTCCGCTCGCGTTGAATTGAACTCGCTATTATAAATTCAAGGCTCCGGCGGAAATTGCAATCTCAGCGAGCGATGAAATCGTGATGAGTGTTTGTGTGACTGAGTGCGCGTTGTACTCACGCGCCGTGAAATAGAGCGTGCCCCGTGCCCCGTGCCCCGTGCCCCGTGCCCCGTGCAGCCAGTACAGCCCACCCGCACTACACACACAGTGCACTTGGTATTGAAAGGAAAACGTTTATTGGCCACATTTTCTGCTAAGTGCTTTGTTAATTTTACAGAATTTTCTTTAAATAGAAGTCATGGACATTCTTTGAAGATAGTGTTTTACCAGAAAAACTGAATATTTTTGCCAAATGAACACGCGTCGATAAATGGTAAAAAAATGAGCATTCCTAACATATTAACAAGTGGAGGGGAGGGATTGTTAGTAATAGAGATTAATGGCTTTATTGCTTGCAATATACCCAACCAAGTCGACCTCCACGTGGTCCCCCCTGGAAACTATCGTGCTGAATTCCAAGTATATTCATCATGATGAGTTAACTGACCTGTCTCTTCCTCCTCACCTATCAACCCACACTGGTGCCCCGCCAGTGTATACTGATAGCGCAGGTGGGGTTACCATTCCATCATCGCCCATTAAAAAAAACATATTAACATGACGTTCATTTGTTAAGTTAGTATGAGCGGTTCAACATTTGTTGCCGTTTTTTAATTTTTCATAATAGCATGAGCAGAGTATTAGATTGTCGTATAGTCAACGATATCGGTATTAGCTTGTATATCTCGGAAACATAAATAACTTTGTTGTGATAATCACTGTGTGTAGTGAACAGCGTAGTGAATGTATTCCCACTGGCTGCGCGTTTACCGTGATGTACGGCTCCACACGTCACACATGCCGGCTGTTTCTCTGCTCCATTCCTATATGATAAGGCGTACAGTAATATGAACCCTATTCTTTTGTAATAATTATCTTTTTTTTTTTCCTACAAACTTTTTTCAATGTGCCAATTAAAACATTTTTTCTCAAAAGGCCCCTTAACATCTATTCCTGGAGATTGACTCCACGAGCTTCATTCCGTACTGTTTGCGAGTACCGAGATCGTGGCGGAATACCGAGAAGTGATGAATTTGAATTTGTAAAATAAATTCGATCGGATGTAACAATTGTGTTCAGACGCACGATATTAAATTGTAAGTACCTACCTATTTATAGCTACTTCCAATCCACCGATGGAATCCTGACATGTTATTGCTTCTGAAAGGCGGCATTTGAGTAATTGTACTTGTAACAGAAAAGAAAAAGAAAATATTTGTGTATTTATATACAATAAGTACATAAATACCCAAATATTTTCTTTTTCTTTTCTGTTATATTTTTTAAATTCCGCAACAAATGAAACAAGTATGTTATTATCCCCATAATTTTACCTGTACATCATAGTTAGAGTTGTGCTTTAGTAGTTTAATACGATGGTTATGGTTAGTAAGTAAAGCACGACGAATTGAAAAGTCACTTAATAATGCATTCTATTACGTTTAAAATGTTCGTAGACAATAGTCACGTCTCTAGAGGGTAATGTGTGATGAGTGTACGGGTGTGACGGGTACGCGGCCTCTTCAGAGTTATAGCAGCGAGCGGGCGTCCCTGCGTCCGGCGTCCGGCGTCCGGCGTCCGGGCGGCTCGTCTGCGGCGAACCGACCGCAGCGAGGTACATTACTGAAATATTGAAACAATAACACGCGGCCACCTCACGGGAGTTACGCACGCCGCACCGACGCACCGACGGTTCCGTACAAGTATTACAATTGAAAGTTTTTTTATGATGTAACTACAAATTTACAGTTTCGGATTTTTGCTTTTCCTGGCCTATACGACATTCTTCTCTCTCAGGCTTCTTGCCAAACATCAAGGTCAACGGGAAATACCCTATAGGTTTTGATTGCCATGCAAATGTCAGAATATGGTACAGGCTATAAATGGGCGTATCTCCTGATTGCATTGATTTAGAAAATTAATTTATTCTCAGCTACAAGGGAGTCCAGTTTGAGTTCTTGTTATTAGTTTCAGTTTAATACCTTTACGCGTTCCTGGACACATGAGTCTTGGCAGATTATCAGATAAACATACAACAATGCGATGAGGGTTACGTTTTTCCTTTTTAGGTATAAGAAGATTTACGATTGGATGCAAGATTTATTTAGCGACATCTAATTAATTTCTGATTTGGATCAATAAAAAAAGAATGCGGCACATAAAAAGATAACCCTTCAAATTACCCCTTTATATTTTCCTATAAATTGTGAGGAGATTTCATAAAGACGTTAACATGTTTTAAAATGTTACTGTTTAAATAATGACATATTTAACAGTTGTTTATCTCGCTCGCTCGCGTAGCCCACAGTAGGCGGTGGTTACTGGAAGTAACGGATACATTTTTACAACGTTCTTGAAAATGGAGATGAGTTTATTTTGTTTGTTGCCCGTCTCGGTGCCTTGACTTATAAAAAGCCCTATTCTTCTTCGAACAATAGCCTCAAAATATATGGCGAACTTTCCTATTTCCGTTGTAATAATTTTATAATCTAACAAAACATAATAATCTTTGTCAAATAGTGTTTATCGATAATCACATGAACAAGTGAATTTATTAAAAAGTAAAATGAATTATTTCTTAAAATTAAAATGATTTCGGTGATACTTTACGTTGGCGTTGTATAATGAATGTTACCTGTTTTCATTATTCCATCGAGTAATTTCCAGAAGTTACTACGAGTAGCAGACAGATAAGATTAATAATGTCCCTATTTTACCGTTATTACAAAAATATTTTATGTCCAGCTAAGGTAAAGTATTATTATAGTCTCCCTTATAAGAATTTACAGAAAGTACTCGTGGATTTTTCCACGCTTTTGTTTATCGCGTTCCAAGGAGTTTTTTTTAGAAAATCCTTGTATTTAATGAAAGTATAAAGTGAACATCACAAACCTATTTAGTTTTGTAGATTCAGGGATTAGACTGTGGCTTGCAATAGTTCAATCAGTCATTACTTTCATTCAAGTGTGACCTCCACGCTGCATGCGACCTGCTCGCTGTGGCGACTTGTCCAGCGTAGAATCGATTGTAAATTGTAAGGGGAACCTAATGACATTTGTTTGGGGCTGGAGACCATTTGTATTATTACGTATTCTATACCGAGATCTTAAATAATGTTTACAATGAGCCGTTTCGTTTCTTATAGCTGTAAGTTACTATTTATCAAGCAAAATATTCTAACACTTCCGTCTCTATATATATTGCAAATAAACATATTTGTAAGAGTCAACCCACATTTATTTTTTTCGATTATCTGACACGACTATTAGAAATAGACGAAATAAGAATCGCTGTACACATCCAGCCAAAACAACATGGCTGCAGAAAAGTATCACTTCATACACACATCACTCTCTGTTTAAATATTATTTAAATTGTCATTTTTTCCGCTATTAACATTTTCAACTATTATTTAAACTTTTGACAATTATTTCTGATTATTATTATTTGTTATTATTATACTATTACTGACATTATATAGTTTGCAATATTTCTTTTTGTAATTATTTTTGCTACGGTCCGTTAAATAAAAAAAATTGCATGCTAATGTTGGCAAAACATGTTAGAACTATAATATAATTAAAATACCCAGTACGTATCTACTGCATACCATACATGTTTATGCAAATCAATTTATTTTTATCTTTATCTTAAGAAGTTTCTTCATTCGATATGTTACCTCAAATTTTGAGTGCAGACATAAATTAGTTAAGTTTTCTGTTCTTCATAATGTTCTTTATGGATCAATATCTTGCCCAGCCGTTGACAATACGTTTATTAAACTTTTTGTCTGACTGATCCTTAAAAGAAATTATTCGTCCTAAGTAGACGTCCTCAATTACATACTCTAAGCTGCCGTCATCCACATATACACTTATAGCATTTGAATTAGTAAGAATCTTTCTTTTTCTTTGCATTCTAAGACGGTTCTGCTATTCGATTTTCTTATGTCAGCATTTGAATTATTGTTTTAAGATTCTTTGGGTTCTCTTCGAAAAAGACAATTGTAACAGTTTTTAGTTATATATATGTAAGTACGTTTCGCTTTCCGTCCCGCATACCATCAAGAGTATGTGGCGCGTGTGTTGAGTGAGGGTGCTGGTGGTGTTCAGTTAGCGTCGGGCTTGACTTCAAGTCCCGGAGACTGCCGCCACTCGCGGATGTAAAATAAGGAGATCAGTGCCCATTGCCAGCAGTATACCCTGTGAGATTGACCTGCACGTGGCCTTTTTGGAAACTATTGCAGTTAATTCAAGTGAATTTGCCACGATGAGTCTACTAACTTGACCTCATCTTCATCGCTTCATCTTTCACCCGTTTTTTACCCGCACAGTCATTTTATACCGTTAGCAGAGGCGAGTGCACCGTCCCATTTTCATTCGTTAAATAAAAAGGACAATGACGCAAAAGGAAAAAAAAGATGCTTGAGGCATTCGAAATGTGGACATGGAGGAGAATGGAAAGGATAAACTGGACAGAAAAATACGAATGTGGAAGTCCTGAAAAGAGTGAACGAGAAACGAACATTAATAGAGAATAGAAGAGGCAAAATGCTGAGACACCTTATAAGACATGACGATTTTTTTAAGAGCACAGTAGAAGGAAAAATAGAAGGCAAAGCAAGAAGGGGCAGACCAAGGAATAACTGAATGGGACAGATAAAATAAACATTAGGTGTCATGTCGTATAGGGAGGTCAAGGATATGGCCTGGGATAGAACTAGCTGGAAGAAGATGCATGAATTAGTTGCACCGATAAGAGGAAACTCTTAAATGAAAAAAGAGAAATAAAGAGTAAAATTCGTGCTGACCTTGCGAGTGCGTGAGCAGGTTGGGGCGCGGCGGCGGCGCGGCCAGGTCGAGCGGCTCGGCGCGCCCGAACGTGCGCAGGTGCAGCGCGCAGCCGCCGCCCGCGCTGCGCGCCTCCTCCGCGCCCGCCGCACCGCCGCCACCGCCGCCACCGCCGCCACCGCCGCCGGCACCGGCGCCCGCCGCGCCGCCGGACATGCTGAACGTCGCGTACGGACTGATCTCGTGCAAGTCGCCTGCTACCGAGCACATTCGTCAATGCCTGTTTCATTATATTAATAGTAAATACATGTACTTCACACCGGAACATAACTTATCATTTATACACAATTCAATAATTTTATTTTAAACAAAATGCATATACCAAGTGTAGGCTCTGAGTGACAGCTCGCTGCGTATGCGCCGACTTGTACTCCGAACATATTTGAACATGTCGAGTCTTTGTTTCGTGCACGGCAGATTCGGTGTGCGCGATGCGCCGTCACTCAGGGCCTGCACTAAAATGAAAAAGACCACATGCTACGCAGGCGTGAGGCGGTGCATACCGTCCGGCGGCGTGAGCGCCTTGCCGTTCCTCTTGCCGGGCTCGGTGGTGTAGAGCTGAGGGTGCGGCTGGCACATCTGATGCAGCGAACACTCGCGCCGCAGGCACGACGGCGCGCGCTGCCGCCGCACCATCACTACACCTACTGATCCAGTACCACATTAAAACAATACAGTGTTATAACGTAGTTTTATTGTAAAGTTATGTGTTATCTCCTGGTTCACGTGCCAAATTTATGTTGGCAATTCAAAATACGAGTATAATTTCTCTAATTCATCTAATGGAGAGCAACTTTGAGTTGAGTCTTGTTGGCAGTATTGATACGACGAGGTTAGTAATGACGTATTGTACATTTCAATTGATTGATCATTAATATACAATTGACAATTAATATGAGATAAATATGAACTTATATACTAAACAACAAACAAAGAACATATATAAGAATAGATGGGGCCACACATTAACCTAGTGCGTGCCGTACTAAATTGATCATTAATAAACCTCTTAATAAACAATTTTCTTACTTCACTGCACGCACTAACATAGACATGACTCCATATTGACATTGCTCGTTTTTAGTATATATTTAAGATGTATATTGTTGTGTTATTGTTATAAAACAGTAAGTCTAAAATAGTCTCTCCTGATATAGTTCGAACTTATAACAATTTTTACTTGTAATTCACTCAATTGTCAATAAATTTTATGTAAGTTTTATGCGAATATTTAAGAAAATGAAAATGTGAATATGGTGTGAGTTATATTGCCTGGAAAGAATTTCAGTACGAATTGGTATCATACGCTTTCATATACTCTGGTAATCTCTTATCAGATAGGCGGACAGTACGTTTGTCTGTCACGTTGTTGGTATAAAAATATTAATCAACGTAAAGCTGTAATTGGTACAGTTACGTAGCGTTCATTGTGCTGTAAGTCCATAATTAATGTAGGAGTTGTAATAAATGGCGTGGCACCTGCGAGCGCAGTGAGCGCGGCGGCGAGCCCGGCGGCCAGCAGCAGCGGCGCGAGCGGCGCGCGCCACGCCGCCGCCTCTGCGCCGGCCGCGCCGCCGCCGCCGCCCTCCGCCAGCTGGCTGCGAGCCTCTATCGGCAGCTCAATTGGCTCTCCGATACGTTCTAAGTAACATTGCCAAATACCATAACATATATTACGATGTGACGGCTAGTACAATCCATTATTATCAGGATTAATTCGATTGTATTTCGCTAGATGACATAGAATATAAGAATTTGGCGTTTTTAAGGTAAAGAAACAATTATAAAAATTAGTAAAACAATACGAAGGACAGATGTATGTCTTTTGGAGAACATCCGGCTCGAAGGATCATATATGGGGCATATACTACGGGCATACAACCAGAGGACCGGACAATAAAGTACGGTTACGTACCGTATAATATAATACATGGATAGGATGATTTAAACGATCAATATACAAGTAAATAAATATCCATATATTACATGCACACTGATATATTTTATCAACAGCGAATTCAAGAGATATGATAGAAATTGTTTACAGGTATACAAGAGATATTGTTGTAACATGATACAGTATTGCATGTAACTGACCTCCATTTTGTGTATGTGTAGCAGCTTTGTACAAGGCATACGTGTCGCCGGCAGGCGAGTGTGCCACCACGCGTATCTCATACCACGTACCAGATTGCAGGTTACCGCTCTGATAACAATCATAATGATATCTATTTTCAGTAAGTAAGCACAAAGAAATAAATATATTATATATAACTAGCGATTCGTCCCAGCTTCGCACGGGGGCAATATTTGTTTATGTAATTTTTAATCTGTTAAACATATTTTAGTATGGTTAGTATTTCGGTGTGTGTAAAAGTACTGCAATAATATTCACTAAGATTTTAAAATGAACGGCCTATTTAGCAATTTCATGTAAGTGCGTTTATACATATAATTCCTCCTGCTATAATGTCATTTTATTAAAAAATTTAAATATTTAAAACATTGTGAAGTTATTGTATGTTTTGAAATAACTTTTGAAGTTAGTTGCAAAGAAAACATGTAATGTTGGTGCACTTAAAAATGTTTGATATACTAGTATTGGGTACCTCAGCGGTTTCGCCATCGGTATGGAGTGTGGTCCAGGCGCCTCCGGCAGCGCGACGCAGCGCCAGCGTCCAGGCGGCCACGGGGCAGCGGCCGCCCCACGCCAGCAGGTTTAGCCGCAGCGCCGTGCTGTTGGCCCACACGAACTCCTTTCCGGGCGGCGCCTTCGCCTCTACGCACATTACCAATCTCTTACGGTCGGCTACAAGCGACACGGACTCGTTGTTATAACGAGTACATAGTTAATAGTTTATCTAGTGTAGGTTCTGAGTGCGGGCTCTTTGCGTATACGGATTCACTAGTGTAGTGCACTAATTCGTGTGAGCGCACTTTGAGCAGATTTTAATACGTCGAGTATATATATTCTTTTTTGCACAATACATGTAGCGATTGAAAATCGGCTCAGAATCGACGTAATATAGTCGCTAAGCTGTCATCCGATTCGAGGCATAATCGCCTTCGCTAGGAAGTCGTTTAGAAAGGATTGCAAATTGGTTACGAGCACTGACTGTCGCCCCTGGTGCGCGCAAGCAGCGGACGCGAGTGCGGCGAGGCGCCGACGGCGTTGTGCGCGCGCAGCGTGACGCGGTACAGCGCGCCGCACGCCAGCCCCGCCAGCGCGCGCGCCTGCGCACCCGCCGCCACGCGCGCCTCACCCGCCCCGCCCGCCCCGCCGGCCGCGCCCTCGCGCGCCCACTGCACCGTGTACCCTGGCCGCACACAAAGCACGACATGTAGTCCGCTCGTCACGAACGTTAGTACAGGCTTGTACGCTGCATTGTTCACTGTGCAATGTACCGAGGAGGGCTGCGCCGCCGTCGGCCGGTGGGTCCCATGCGAGGTGCAGCGCGTACATGTCGGCGCGTACGAGACGCGGCGCGGGCGCGGCTGGCGGTCGCCGCACCGCCAGTGTGAACACCGCTGCGTCTGCGCCACCGCTGTTGCGCACCGAGCACGTGTAGTTGCCCGCCGTTTGCACGTCAACCTCTGTCAACGTCAATACTCGCTGTCATATCGATCTCGGTTTGCGTGCTCGCGACTCGCTACCGAAGGTTCTATGAAGTTACAGGTAGAAGAGAAAACATAATTATGATTTCATTTGTGGCCAACAAAAAAAGACTTCACTTGTGACAAAAGCAGTTGTTCTGATGTAAAAATTAAAGTACTCAACCGATATTCATAAAATTTCTAATAGACTAGTCTGTATCTTTTCAGATAAAAATAATCCAAATCGGTTTAGAATTGTTGGAGTAATGAGGCAGCAAACAAAATATACAACCGAATTGAGGACTTCTTTATTTTTGAAGTCGGTTTCTATAGTTTCACAAAAAAAATGGATTCATGCAATGATAAAAAACTTGTTATTAATCTTCAACAATGCAAAATCATCTTTTTCCCATACAATTTAAAAATTTTCACCTTCATTCATCTACATTCAGTGAAGACCTAAAAGAAGTACATACACTGTATGTCGTAGAGTTCTTTCGTAATCCTGTGACCATCATCCGTATTCATATTTAACAGGTATATTATATATTCTTCAAATGAACGAATGAATAGACGAATTAATTAACAAATAAGACTTCACCTTTTGACACAGGTCACAAGAAATGTCTTGTGTGTAAGTAGTGGGGAACATACTGTGTATGATGAGATCGCCGGTGTCGGTGACGGTGTGCGGGTGCGGCAGCGGCGCGGGCGCCCAGCGCCAGCGCAGCGGCGGCGCGCCCACCGCCGCGCAGCGCAGGCGCACGCGCGCGCCGCGCACCGCTGCCACCGCGCGACCGAACGACGAGATGCGCGCCGCCACTGCCACCACACCACACCTTATGTAACTTGCATACTCGTTTTGAGATAATTTACTCGTGACTACAACGAGTAAAGAGAATAGCACAAAATGAAATTATAACTAGTCAAGATCGAGTACTTGGTATTAGTACTATGGTATCACCTGCGTGGGCGGGCGCCGCGGTGACAGGGCGCGTGGGGGGCCCGGCGCCAGCCGCGGTAGCGGCGCGCACCCAGAACTCATACACGGTGCGCTCACGCAGGCCCACCACTTCGCGCCACACTTCCTCGTCTTCGTTTTCCTCGTTTGATTTAGAATCCATATTCGCTTCGACTCTTTGTGACCATTCGCCGCCAACTCTTCAAAAAAAAAACAATTTAATATATTGTGACATGGGTTTATGTTGCAACACTATTAAAATTTTATGAATATACCTAGACCTACTTTCCAAGTTCTCTAGTATACAGCGTGTAGTGTGTGAGGCGGCCGGCGCGTTGAGTGGGAGCGAGCCACGACACGCGAACTGCGTCTGCACTAGACGCAAGCGCACGTACTGCTTCGGCTACTCCAGGAACTACAAAAAATATACAAATCATATTTTTGTTTGCCGCCTCCACGGTATATGGTCAAATAATTTAAATATTAGTGAATATTACTAATCGTACCATCTTCCCTAGTGGAACAGTAAATGGGCGATGATGGTGGACCAAGCCCTCGATCGGTGCGTGCACGAACCCACACGGAGTAGTTAGTGGCTGCGCGCAATCCCTGCAGTGTAGCCTCGTTGTTTGCACCAGTGCGTGTTGTTTGTGATTCCATAGCGCCGCTCCACACTGTTATTTATATCATGAGTTTATTATGTTTTTTTTTTTGTGTTCAAAATAACAATATTTATAAAAAAAATATTGACACTGACGTGGTGAGAAGTGTAAGGCTGCATACTGTATGTCGTATCCTCGCAGTACATGAGCGTGAATTGCCTGCGGTGGAGCCCAGCGAACTCGCAACGATCGGGAAGAGAGACCTTCGCAAACGATGGCAGTTGGCGGGACTTCAGGTACTGTTGAAAACATTATATAGTCTATAACGAATATATATTTTACAGAATTTAGGAGCTAAGTAAACAAAAATTTGCTGACAATAATAGAAGACTATAAATTCGTCGCTCTGTTCCATCAATAGACGAGTCCAATATAGCTAGAATAATTCTAAAGACACTTACCTAAATACATATTTAGGACTATTTAAATATCAATTATTTTTGATCTAATGACATTAAAAAGAAACAGATAAAGGCAAAAACTAATAAAGCACATTCGTTAGTAGTGAGTAGAAAAATTTAGGGTACAAACCTCCATCAGCAGTGGTAGCGTAAATAGTTGGCGTAGCTGGGCCGGCGCCTGCGCGGTTATACGCACGTAAGGTTAGCGCGTAACGAGAGAACGAACGCAGACCATTGATGGTCAAGTCAGAACTAGTCCAGCCCGGCGCAGTCGTGCTGCCAGTGCGCCTTTCTTCACCAGCAATTTCATCGTCTATTCGAGTCAACTCTCGCCAAGACGCCACGTAGCCTAGTAGTTCACCATTCCAGCTATCTTGTGGAGGAGCCTAATTAACATATTTTTTTATTGTTGCAAAAATGATTACTGTACTACTAAGGCTTTATCGTGAGCCAATTAGAAGAAAAAATTGCAAGAATGTGGTATTTGGACGCTCTATCTCATCTCCTTTCACGCCAATCCGAATGACATCGTATCATTGTAACATCGCATACAAGATCGCATGAGCGAATTGATCATAATATTAAAAAAATATATCACATTTACTTTTGTGAAGTTAATATGGAGCATTTAAAAAAACGTGTCTACAAACATTTAAAAGAGCGGCAACGCACAAGCAACTTCTATATTGCAAGTGTTCATGGACGACGGTAGCCGCTTCTCATAAGGTGAACCGTATTCTTGTTTACCTCCCTAACAATAATATAAAAAATCTAGCTTTCACGCTACTGTAGTATTAAAGATTATTATTATTATATAAAATGACTATACTATAGTAGTATACTATAGTAGTAGTATACTATAGTAGTAGTATGACTATAATATAGTAGTCAATGTTACTTACCGACCAAGAGACATGTAGTTCTCCAACGCCAGCTGATCTCACTTGCACGTTTTGTGGTGATGCGGATGGTGCTGTATGATACAAATGTAAAATTATACTGTTACTCACTGTTAAAAGTATGGTCAATCATTATTAAAATTATGGTCATTAACAAGATATTTCAATACAATTGTTAATACGTGCCTTCTTCCAAAGTGGTGAAGAGTAATGGATCAGATTGAGGCGACTGACCGATGTGATTAGCAGCAGCGAGACGAAGTGAGTAGGCGACGGCTGGATGGAGGGATTCTAAGCGCGCACTCAGGATATGATTCCCATCAGAATCAGCTCTGTGGAAAATATTAAAATTGAAGCCATTTTCGTGACGATTTTTTTCAATCACAAACTTAAAGAAGGAATACCTTTCGTCTGCAATGGATTCGAGGGTTAAGTTGGTGGTGACGTGTTTGGCGTCTTGTGTGGGTAGCGCATGCAGTGCTGTATAGGAAGCACTGTAACTTAATCCGCGTACTGGTGGGGCGCGCCAGGCGATGCGGACCCAGCGCGACCCCACTCCTCCCAGACGGACCGAGCGTGGTGCTTCTGGTGGTTCTATACATCGTAAACATAATAAACACGAATTACTGTATATTTGTGTGATTTATGTACATTAAAAATATGCTAATTTATTATGCAACAATCTCACCTTCGACGTTTAAAAACAAGAGGAGCTCACTCCTGCCGTACTGATTATGTGCGTGGCAGCGATACTCGCCAGCGTCTATACGCTCAGCTGCTCGAAGCTGAAGCGTTGAACGTAACCCATCCACTGTACGAACTTCAGAGACTGTCCACCTTAAAATATCATAGGGCTTTATAATGGCTACTAAATTATATTAAAGACTACACCTAATTGTGTAATCCAACCTGTATGAGTTGAGATCGAGCCTGGTACCGCTGTGGGTCCAGTGAACGGCAAGCGGCGCGTCGCCCAGCGCATGACACGTTAGTGATACACTGTGCCCGCGGACACATGACATGTTCCCACTGGATTCTTCAAAGTGCGCTGGCTCTAGGTGGCAAGAACGTAATGTTTTTTACAAAAGTAATAAAATTACTCTTGTTCGGGGTATCCGGAAATTGATGTAATAATGATGTTGAAAGAAAAGATTGTATTAAAATTTATAATATAACTATCGATAAAATGAAACGATAATTAGTGAGTTCTCGCGGCGTCCTCGGTGACCGTTAGCGAACTGATTTGCATAAATTATTAAGGTATGAAATATATAAATTTGCTGAAGCTATCGATATGCGCTGCTTGCTCGTACAATATAGTATTGGGACGTTTATTACATATACATACAGACATAGACAGAGTGTTAAATACAGACAACTGAGAGATACCGTTAGTAATATATTTAGCCTCACCATGGATAGTTAAATTGATGTGTTTGATAAGAGGAGGCCCAACACCATTGTCGGCGACGCAGCGGTAGCGTCCCTGGTGCAGGCGGGCTGCAGCCGGTGCTGTTAGGGAACCGTTACGAGTTCGTACTCCGATCACACCCTCGCCCCACTCCGCGCCTCCAACAACCTCCCAGTGATCTCCATTGTCACTGCTCAGAGATATACTGTCGCCTATTGAAAGTAAAAGCTCGGTATTTTTTTACGAAATAAAGAATGAATACGAACAATGAATATAAAGTAATTACCTATTTGTCTGTACCACTTAATTTTTGGTACCGGGTAGCCTTTGGCAGCGCATTGCAGTGCTAGTGGAGTTCCAAGTAGTACCGCAGCATCCATAGGCTCTATAATCCACGCCGGCGCCACTAAAAATTAACGTATAATTAAAATCTATTAATTTAAAATGAAGGTACATCTATTTTTAAACTAAAACGGTTAATTAATTGTACTCAGTTTGTAGTAACAAGTTGGTTATGTAACGTATGAGTCACCTTTGACGCTGAGCGTGGCGGTGTAGTTGACGGTAGCGGCGTGGTTGGTGACCCGGCACGTGTAGTCGCCACTGTGGCGGGCGGTCAAGTCGGAGAACATTAGAAGCGAGAATTCATTCAAACTTTTCTCTTCTATCTGCAAAAATAATATATATGATATACATATAATTTTATTCATAAAATTACACTTTTAAGATATTTTAAAACTGTTTTAAGCAATTTACCTGCAGATTAGACGGCAAAGGTACACCGTCCTTGAGCCAAGAGAAGTACATAGGTTTGTCACCGGACGAGACTCCGCAAAGAATTTGCACGGAACTGCCTTCAGTCAATTCGGAGGAAAACATGAAGGGCGAAATTTTTGGTGGATCTAGGAACAACAAACAAATATGGCGATTTAAACTCAACATTGTGGGCTAATTGGATGGAGAGGCTTTAGACAGTATCATTAAAATAACACGGGGTGACTAAAATGAACGTTTTGTTTAATGCTGGAAATGCCGTGAATTGAATGACTAGCGAAACATAAGTTAGGTACGTGCACAGCACATAGGTCACTAGGTTTCCGAAATAGTTTGAAATCTCGAATGTACAAAATTATTTAGAAAAGTAAAGAATGGTCCTTATGGAAGGAAAGAATGATCTTAGCATATAGATTGACCAGATATTGTAGGCATGGGAAAACAAGGATGGGTTCCCCTGGTTTATAACTCACTTCGGACTTGTATCTCGATGTCCCTCCGCGCGGCGGCGCCGCCGGGCGCGGCCACCGCGCACGCATAGTGGCCGGCGTCGGCCGCCACCGCCGGCGACAGCCGCAGCTCGGCGCCGCGCGCCGACACGCGGCCCGAGCCCTCCACCGCGCGGCCTGCACCGCGCGCCCACCACGAGATGGAGCTGTGTCAAGTATGTCACTGAGTTATTGATAGTTTTGTAATTAAGTGATTGTCAAAAATCTGCATTTATAAAGAGACGCTCATAGTATATCGATGTAATAGAGAAGAGAAAAAGTATGATAGTAGGCATTTAACAAGTTTTCGGTTTGGTTAAAAATATGACGGCTTGTGTAGAAAAGAGTTGTTCGGATTGATACGACCCCTCTAGATGGGCTGCTGTGAATTAATGCCCAATACTTTAGGTTATTAGTTCAAAGTTGCCCTACCTGGGTCTCTTACCTAGATAGAGTAACTTCTACCCTCAACTTGCGGAAATTTATGTAGGCTCTACGATTAGCAAAGCAGATAAAATTAGAGATGAAACAAAATATTCAATAAAATGTTAAGAATGTGAAAGTCGTATCGGTTATACTCGTACACGAGTAGCTCATCCGTTTGCAATCTTATATTTCCGTATTGGTAGATAATGAGCCCTACTAATTAGAACAAAATGTTCGGTGTTCAAATGGTGTCGGGTGTGTATGTGTACGAGTGCGTGTATCGTGCAAGAGGAATCATCCTATCAAATGCACCTCTATGGACCTGATCGGATATCCGGCATACGGGCAGAAGATAGTAGCGTTGGCGCCCGCCACCACGCGTACCGGACCCAGCGTGCGGATGGATGGTGGCCCTGGGGGGAGACGAAAACTATTGTGATTGCTTATAGAAATGTAATCTTAGTTCTTCCTGAGACATTAGAAATGTAATATTTTATTTAATAATAATATATAAGTAAAATACACCGTTGCGGGAAGAATTGACACGACGAGGTTAGTAGTAGAGTAGGCAACTGAATTGCAACTGACTAATATTAATAAAACGAGATAAATGTTAACATATATAAAAAAATACAAACAAAGGAAATCAAGATTAGAAATGTATTAACCCACTACACACAGTGCTAAATTGGCAATGATTAAACATCTTAATAAACAAACTATTTCCTTACGGTACTGACTTACAATATATATATATATATATCAAGAACAGATATAAAGCATCATGTGCTGTTTGAGAGAGATAACATTTGGTTATAATAATCAAAATAATATTAATGTTAGTAGTATAACATAATACTAATAACAATGTGTCATGTGTCAATGTAAACAAACATGTCAGACATTGGTTAATTATTGGTCACAGGATATGGTTCTTATTCATAAACATATTCATGACTTTTCAAAGCTTTAAAATTAAATCTTTTTTAAAGCACTCTGAACTCTAGGGTGAATTACTCTGTCCTTTTGAACATTATAAAAGCATATTTATATAACAAAAAAGTGCTATTCGCGCGATCTATTCTAAGTCGTCAATCACTTAAAGGGGAATTTAAAGAAGCAAATATTTTCACCGTAGCTTCAGAATACATGTACGCCAACATTTTATATGTACGCAGGAATCTTTAACTGTTTCTTAAAAACAGCGATCTCAATAATCTTAACACTAGATACAAATTCAAATATGCTGGTCCGAAGTATCGTTTAGAAAAAGTTTATAGGTCTTTTATGGGAATGGACATTAAATGTTATAATAAGATATCGAGGGACATTTTGGTTCTACCTTTTAATAAGTTTAAAATGTTATAAAAAACTAATTGAATTGGGATTTGCCCATTAAACGATTGCTTGAATGACAAATGTGACAAACACCATGTTTTATTTATTTATTTGAAAATTACTCACCACACTTACAGTCTCCCAAAACGTGTAGCGAGCCATAGGTTTATTTTACAAACTTACAAAGTTAGTTGATCATGCACGGGCTTTTAATGATCATGTAATTTTAGACATAGTACATTTAAATAAATACACATAATGTTAACAAAGATTTAAAAGAGCAACTGTTGAGTTTGTTGCGGGCTCTTCTCAACAGATAATAACCTTTCAAATCTTGCATTCATGAAAAAAAATGATGATTTAAAAGTGCTTGTAAAGAAGTCCATTTGAATAAAGATGATTTAAATTTAAATTCTTGACTCTGCAGAACAGGCATGTAGGAGATGAAACAAGATATATACAAGAATAGAGACCTTTCTGCAAAATAAGTAGTAAATTTTTAAATTCAAAATATACGTTATATAGAGTTATAAAAAAAGCATCAATTTACAGATAAAAATTAAGGGGAAAAAAGAGAATTGAAATATTACATTAGCATAAAGAGCGTTGTGTTGATCTCACCGTAAATATTGAGCCTGGCGGAGTGCTCGGCGTGGCCTAATTGGTTGTGTGCGCGGCATGTGTACCGGCCGCCGTCCTCTGGGGACACGGCGCTGATGTTCAGCGTCGACACCACGTCGCCGTTCACTGATATCTCCTCGCTGATGAAGAACCTGATTCCACATATCTAGTTGTTGATACATAAACATTGAAAAAGGATTATATTAGAATTGAAAGTGGAGAGCGTACGACTGGAGGGAGATGCCAGAGACTGTGTGGTGTCTAATACAAATTGATGAGTATTGATCAGGTAGAGTGGGGCTGGTGTGGACCTGTGCTGGGCGCGGTACTGGTCGAGCGGCTGCGAGTCGAGGAGCCAGAGCAGGCGCGGCGCGGGCGAGCCGGAGGCGGCGCAGCGCAGCGACACGCCGCCGCCCGCGCGCAGCGCCTGCTCGATGAACGTGTAGTGCAGCTCCGGCGCAGAGTCTATCATGACGGAAACACAGCTTGTGCATAAAACGCTGGTAATCAACGGGAAATTTCATTTGAAAGTAACCTATAGGAATCTATATTACCACAACTTTAGCTTCTCCTTTTTGACCGGCTTAAAGTAAGAATGGATACTTAATTGTACTAATTTTTTGCAATTTACACGATATCTTTTTCTACGGTAGGGTTTTAGTGATTGTTGTACTCTATTTTTTTTTTGTAAAAAGTCCCTATTAAACTATAACTTAGAGAATTGTAGAAAATTGCATTTGATCATGGTGTATAAAGACTATATATTGAAATACCATCAAAAATATTAACTATCAGTCGCTACTCATATTCGAGATATAAGTTAAAGCCCGTGACATCCTATAATGAGATCTTGATCTATGATGGTGATCGAGTTAGAGCGAGTGTTCAGTGTTCGGCGACAGTGACATGTGAGCGGCGGTTGGGCGCGCCGTCCGATTTATCACGCCCTACGGTCGATCCGATGCCGACCCTTGATATATTAACGCGCACGCTGTAATGGGAGCCCTATCCATTCCAATCGAGAGGTTATTCTGTTGAAATATTCAAAATTGGAACAATACATTTGAATTTAATTAACAAGGGTGAATCTCTCACAAATTTCTTTTTCCATTTTTGGAACAATTGTCAGGCCCTCGTGGACGAAGACTAAATTCGTGCATAATTAACCCCATTAATTCATTTTAATCCATAAATTAAGCCCTCCGACGGAACACGATTGTCGGTTTAGACAACACTCGCTTAATTTTGGGTTCGTTGCGATGATAACTCACACTTGTGGTTTCAAATGTACTTGAACACCTCGTAATACTATCTCCCTCGCGTATAGTTTCGAATTGTATACCGAGGGGTTTGAAAAACCACAACAAACAAATTATGTGAATTGTAATACGATTCATTTTGTACAGCCCGACCGAGGAAAATATACTAGTGCGTTAATATTACGGGCGGGAAATTAAACTCCACAATGAACATATAAATTCACTGTTTTAGTACCGACTACTATAGAATTTAATTACGGCTTTGTCACACATAATATAGAACTATACTACACTCCGCTGATTTGCCGATGTAACCGACTGGATTAATATTCAGAGAACTAGAAATATTACATATTATGAGTACAATAAGAACTGAAAACAGATAAGAGTGATAGTTTTAAATGGATTATTTGATTGTAGGGAGGGGCGCCATGTGTGGTGGTGACTGCTATGGTGGGAAACCATTGAACATACTCAGAGGGTGGCTCTTGTTTAGTGGATAATAGGTGATTTACGCAGACACAGCAATATAACTGAATTGTGTTTTTTAGGAATGGAGAAAATTTAAAAAACAAGCTTAGGCTCTGTTATAAACAAAATAGTGTAATTAATAGAATAAAAAAAAAATATTTTTCCCAAGAGACTACAGCATGGGGTTCTTCAAAAGGGGAGTAAAGAGATTTCTTCAGGGTCGGCAACGCGCGCGTAATACCTCTGGTATTGCAGGTGTTCATAGGCTATGCATATGCATTGACCACTTACCATCAGGTGGGCCGTATGCTTGTTTGCCACCTCAGTGGTATAAAAAAAATGAATATAACTAATTTCTTTACCAACTTTTGAGTGTGTGGAAGTTTCCATGGTACAATTATAATTGTTTTGTAAAAAAATGTATTTCATAGTATGTATATACGAAGATAAATAGACTGTTTATGGTTTTCTTAAGAAGATGGCAGAAATAAACTTAATAAAAAAAAAATACAACAAGTTATTTTTTGTATATATTTATTTTTATAAAGTAAATAAACAATAGAGGCTTGATCGCTAAAAGTGATCTCTTGCAGGCTACCTTACATTGGATTGAAATTAAATTGAATTAAATAAGGTTTCACATGATAAACGTACTCAAATGTCGTTGTATGACCGTAATCGTAATTTTATTATTTTGTTTATATTTTTAAATTATTATTTCCTTTGCAAATCGGAGAAAAGTATCTACTACTGTAGTTTCGGACAAAATAACAAATTATGAGTATCTGTTAATTAAAAGGTCGGCGCCTCATCCTTTTAGAATTACTTACTGGGCAGTACTCGACTCCGCCTCGTCCGTCTAATATTATTTAGCTGTTAATTGCTTTTTTTTCCGACTTCAACAGTCATGTACTAATATTAGAACATTTTTATTATAAGCTTTTACTTCACTTGCAATGTACGCTAGTTACTTTCTTTGTTTAGGACAGATCTTGCAGATTGAATTGAAATTTTGTATTCACCTTTAACTCTGGAAATAATAATATAATACGTACAATACAAAATGGCCGCCGCTACAAGATGGCGAGTGGTGTGTACATTGAAAGAGTTTGAAAAATAGATAACGTTAAAATAAATTACTTGAATTTAAAATAACCGCAGCCACAAGTGACGAATTACATTATAAGAATCTGTATTTGTATATGTTTTTAAAGGTACTCAATCGATAATTATTCTAAAACATTTGTACTAATCAACAATTTTATTACACTGCCTTATGATGTCCTCGAAAGTTTCCTATCACGTTATTTACATGTAATTGTGAAGTTATTTCTATAAAGTGCCAACAATGGACACCGTCAATCTCTTTTATATTTGATCAAGTACACAGAACATAAATATCTGAGTAAGAGCATTATCCATTTCCATATAGTAATCCGAGATATGAGATTGAATATGTTTGCACTGGATAATAGAACAGCGCAAATTTTACACTGGGTAGATTGGATGAAGGCGCTCGGCACGCTGCTGACATATTGTTTGTTTTATGGGTTTGCAATGTGTACGAGTACCTTATTATTAATATTTGTAGACGTATCTCTTAGAGCACGCGTCTAGATATATTTAGTTCTTTGTTTGTCATGTTTGTACTCACATACGAGCATTAGTAAAGAGATTCGCCATTAATCAAATAAAGAAGACGAATTCTCGAGTTTATATTACTATACTATTTGCCGTGTGGTCTTGGCATAGAATGGTTCATCCCTTTCTTCCCTGTGGGTGTCGTAAGAGGCGACTGAGGGAACTTAATAGTCGAAGGAGGGGCAGTAACGTCTTTTGGAACACCACCTAAGCCTAACTGCGGTTGCCAACCCGCCTGCCAAGCGGAAAAACTACTGGTAAAACTCACTTTACGGGTGAGGCGGATGTTCAGCAGTGGACAGTCAACGGCTGATATGATGATGATGAATCTATTATTATAATTATAAATAGGAAAGATATTATTGTTTCTTTATAATGGATAAACTCAAAAATAACTTAACAGATTTAAAGAACTACTTTACTTTTAGAAAGTTAGGTATTCAACGAATGATAAAGAATATATATATATATATAAAACAGTGTGTTAATTTCCAAGGTTTTATCTACTTGTGCGATGTTGGGCCGCGTCGCTATACAATAAATGGATGTTAAGGTACTAAAGACGACACTGAAAATGTTATAAGAAACTACTTAAATTTTATACAAATTATTGCGTAAAAGGTTTTCGAAGAAACCCTTTCAATTAAGAAAACAACCATTAAAATCGGTTCAAAATTACCGAAGATATCACGTAACATGCGCACAGTTCGAGAATCGAGAATTTCCACTCTTTGCAGCTGTTTAAAAATCGTCTGGAAATTATTATAACGACGATAATAGGGACAGCTCTGGTTTCACTATTATCTCCGGCCTTATTAATTGGACGAGACCTATTTACAGTTTCATCTAGGCATTATAGAAAATAAAAACCATTTACTACAACACTTAATTGGAAATAAAATATTTACATGAAATTGTTCACAAAGATAACTTTTCTATATACTATACATAATTTTTCGCGTAACGTAAGTGGCATTTGTAGGTTTCCTGAGAAAAGAAATTAAAATCTTCATTTTTCATCTGAGGAAACTTAGAATAATCCTACGTTCCCATTCCTCCGTTTCTTTTCCAATGTATTTCATCCATTTATTGTAGCATTATCTTTATTAAATTCAGCCACATCGCGCTGTTAAACGTTAGTTGAGCATTTATACGAAACTGTACAAAATAATCAACATTTGCTAGTTAAAAATATTTCTTTTGTATTTTTTTTCTATCGACTTCAAAAAATTAGGAGGTTGTCAGTTCGGTTTAAGGTTTTTTTATTTGTTACCTCATAACTCCGTCAATTATAAACCAATTTGGATAATTCTTTTTAGATCTGAAAAGACATAGGTAATTTCAAATAAGCTCCATATTTTTATCAAAATTGGTTTATTTATTTATTTGCAAACAATACCACATTGTGTTGAATATTTTTTATAAGTAACAAGAAGATGTCATAAAATACAACAAAACAAAAAAAAATATGAAGCAACAAAATATCCAATAATTATTGTCAAAAATTGCAACTAATTTACAAATGTCATTAATACAACAAACAACAACAAAGGCATAGTATACATAAAAAGTGTGTGTACATATAAAAATTGTTTGTTCACTTCATGTTCGAAGGATTCGAGATCTAATGTTTTAAAATGCATCAATTGAGTAGATGCACCTTTCCAACAAAAGAGTATAAAGTTTTATTTTCAAAGTACTCCAATCTCATTCTCCAATCAATTTTTTACCTTGCTGTAATAAATACTTTTTTGGTGCGTGTATTACTTGTGTATGTACGCATGTATTGTCCGGATGTGCAGTGCAACGTAAAACAATATAAATAACACTGTAACGAATTGATGAATTCAATAAAAGAGTGTCTTTAGTTTTATTGCCACGCTTGGTAGACGGATTGGCAACTAGCAGTTAGGCTTTGGAGATGTTTTAAAAGGGACGCTGCTGCCCATCTCTCGTCCTCTCCTAGTCACCTCTTATGACATTCACGGGAAAGGAAGGGGTGACTTATTCTATACTGGGGCCCACAGTAAATTATTACTATATTAACACTCAATCTTACTTAATGTAAACCTATTAACACTGGGAGTGTTCTTAGGTTTACATTAAGATTTGATCATTTCAGACAAATCTAACTTCATCGTTATTAAAACCATCAACAAACCTTATTTGAGAAATCAGTTCAGGGTACGATACGGCTAACATACCTTAAGAAGGTAAAAACTCTTAATAATTAAGAAAAAGTGCTTTTAGTTTACCCTTTGCTTTAAATACGTACAAGTATACATTATATGAATCCATGTGTAACCAAAATGCATTGATGGAATTTAATAAACAAGGCACCATGTGTATCAAAACTATTACTTCTTTTCTATGGTAGTAGGGTGAACACATTGAATTCTTACAATTTCACAAATTTTATGTAGCAATAAGCGTGGGAATCGAATACAAGCGCTGTGCAATATATAGAGTTCCAGAGAGTGTTCCACGTAAGGTATCCGGCCTTTGTGCTCGAGTGCGGAGAGCTGTACTGCATGCCTTTATACTGTACATTTCAGTAACATATGCATAAAGTGGATGCCGGCACTTCGCCATTGCAAACCGGATTAAAACAATACAATCTTCTTTGATAGCAAAACTTTAAATACGAGTAGTAGCCAATTAAAATCCCGAGTAAGTTAGTTAAATAGTATAAAACAAAGTTGCTGCTAGCATCTGTCTTCTCCTTTGCTTTTTCTAAACTATGTAATGGATTTTGATATATCTTTTAAGGTATTTTTTTAAGTATGGTTACGGAAGATTTGTATGTATGTACAATAAATTCTAATTAAATTAGACAAAAGTAGATAAAATTAATATTTTGTTACAAACTGTATAATTTTTTATTTAAAGTTAAAAATATTTAATTGGAATTTTTATTTTGATGGCTTTATTAATTAAAAAGAAACCTTAAAATTAATACTTTTCTTTCTATACTAACTACTAATAGGTCGATATTAACAATGATCTCGAATTTTTTTATGTGAATGTAATGTCTTTTATAAAGTCTGAGAGATCAGACATTGAAATAATGATTCCGCCATTATTCAATATCTGCGCATTAACTGTAAAAGGAACGTTTTAATTTAAGCCGTATCAAATAAAAGAGAGACGATATCCAATTTTGTGTCACGGTAATTATTTTCGCATGCTCGAGGGAATTCATGGGCTCCTCGTCGAGTCGTCTCCCGGGCGACGTCGCGATCTCGCACGATGAATATAAAGGCAAAGCAGGACGTTTCAACAAATGCCTTTTGCTGATTGATTCCGACTCTAGATCGCGACACTACATTGAGATTGATTGCGACCTCGCCTCGTCGCCCGCGGCCTCCCGTCCCCTCTCCCGAGCCCCTCACTATCTTCCGTTCTGTTCGTACCCTATTCGGTCGCGAAATCACTTTTCATATTTGATTTTTATGAGGCGATGTGACATCGATGTATTTTATTACTGTTCCACTATTGAATTATCGATTGTATTGTTGACAGTAGAGAATAAAATGTTTTAGAAGTAAGGAGTATAGCAATGAATAAAACGCATTTCTAGTTTTTAACTGAATTAAAAAAGCAGGAGATACTCGCCTGTATTTTTTTATGTAAACGTTACATAATATTTCACCAATTTTAAACCGACTTTAATAATTAACTTCGTATTCAATGTAATCTCTTGCTGCTTCCATATTGCAATAATATATTAATTTTGCCACGTTTGATGTAGCTGTTTTTCAAAGCAATATCTTAAAACGTTGAAGTTATTTTCGTCTGGGTTCCATCAAATCACAGCACAAGTAAGTAACCAATCAAATCATCGTCTTTTGTGATTTGGAGCGAGTTCAGTCAAGTAGAAAGCTTTTGTGCGATTGAATATCTGCTATTACCTTTGACTGCAGATCACATAATAATCTACCAATTACATTTGTAAGCGTGTTCCCAGTTACGTTCAAATAAGGTTCTAGAGAATCGTGCATCTTTGGAAAAACAATATTCACTTCAAGTCTCTTGCGAGGTAGACAGGAAGATCCGAATACTTATAATAATCTTTTGCTTGATCTATTTTCATAATTTGTCCTCTCACGTTGGTTCTAGTGACTCTGATCATTATAGATTTAACCTTCTAAGGTAGTTGCTAGCATCCTTCCACTTTCATCGACTACTATTGTACTACGAATATATTGTATAATTTATAAAGCCTTGCCTTGCCATGAAGGAAGATAAATAGTATGCGTAATGCATTGCAGTGAGCTCCGCTTACTACGGGCTCATATACATGACGCAAACTGCAAGCAGACTGCTAATAAATCATGAAAACTTGCACTCGCAACGATTCATAACCAACGTTTGTTATCACAACTGACTTTAGTGGTTTGAACATTGTTTGCATATTCTGGGTTACATAGCTACGCGTTTTATCATGTATGTTCCTAAAAAAATATAGATAGGATAACGAATTTGTTGTGATTTGGTGTGTGTGTGATAAATAATAATACAAACATACATATCTGTGACGCCTGCCTCCCTTAAGAGTAGGCTTAGATTCAAACAAACCTCTTTCGCGTTTTCCACATTCATTAATCTTTTCATACACGCTCGCCGGTTACGGGTACTTTTAATTTGGCCCTTCTTCAACACGTCGCTATTTGGTCGACATATGTCCATCTAAGGAGGCCCCTAACGATATTTTTATTCATTCTTGCTCGATAAATGTCTTTTGTAAATCTTCTTTCGTCCATTTTTTTATACAACCTAGAATGGCAAACAAGCTGACGGCCCAGCTGATGGAAAGTGGTAACCGTCGCCTATACACATGAGCAGTACCATGGACATAACAGAGTATACTGTTTCACCCATGATACCCCCATGCGTTGCCATTTCTGAGGACTCAGGTGTTATTTCTCCGTACCCAGTAAATTCACGCCATATCCCATAAACACAGCCATGCAAACACATCTGCTTTACGGTTGAAAGATAGAGGTACCCAAGCAAATGACTTTTGTACAAAGTCTCCCTCTGGTAAATCCATCCTCTCCAAATGGACAAATTAACGCAACATTCCTTTTTCGATTTTTGTCACTACATAAGTTTTAGTCCAGAATAACGATTAGGTATATAAATTTATTCGACAATATCACTCAACATTGCAGAGCGTTGTTTTTTGAAGATTTGAAACTATAGCACCTAGTAATTTCATTGACATATCCTTCAAATAGAACACAAGTCGAAATCAAGTTGCTTGAGGATAAAATCTTTTGGTTACATGTAGCACAATAGGTTCATTTAATTACATGTCCACAAGAAAGGCAACGTGAAGGGTTGCTATTGCTATTGTCATGTTAATATTGTGCTGACGTTATCGATGCAGCAGCTCTGTGTATCGGAAACGGGAGGATCAATTTATTGACAGCACTTGAATGGCTCGCTCGGCACCTACTTGACAACCGGCGTTCAGCCTTAGTGCTCGGCGCCCGGAGCTCGGGGCCGCGTATGTGTGAATACAGTGCTCTGTATGTCAACGTTATTAGTTTTAATATGGGTATGAGTGTTAGTCGATAGATAATATTTTATTCAAAACGTTTATTATTGTCTATTAATTAATACATTAAACATTTAAATAAGCAAAATGTAGTAAAATGGAATGTATTAATATATGATTATTATATTCTATTTTTTTTCTATAAAATTAACTACAATTTTGGAAATAAACAATATATATATAAATATATTACCATCAAAATGCTGTTGGCCGCAAATGGTCTTTACAGCTTTATCGGAGATAACAGGGCAAATGGCACTTCAACTCGCGGAAGGATTTATGGAACGGTTTTTCACCGTTTTCTGTCTACCGGATACGACATTTTAGTCTAAGGGTACCGCAGAGCAGTTCGAGCCTTAGTTCAGGCCATTATGCTTCGATCCTCACCTGAACGGATAGGGGGATCGTTTCGCATCGGCACGGACACAGACGTAATTCAAATAGTGATTTGATGTTTATGATTTGCTTTATTTTTTATTTAATATAAATTTAATTCAAGTAATTTGAATTGTTGAGTGTCATCGGGAGAATGTAAATTATTATTTTTTATTTATTTGATGCCATTTAATAGTTTAATAATTTAATTCTTTTCTAATAATTTAATTCTATTTTAATATTTTTTAAACACAAAGCATGCTGTGGGTGCCTCTAAATAAGTAAGAACAGTTAGCTGTAATCCACTAGTGTATTGTATCGAAATGTTTCGCTGTATCTCATGTTGGATATCCTATAGATAATTAATTGTACTTACAATATTGTTAATAAATATGTGTTATTTGTACCATCACAAAAGATATTTGATTCTTTGGCCCTCAGCACTTACCATTTACCACCTGCATTATAGGCGGCGCATGATATTTATTATATTAAATACAAATTGCCAAACAGAGTACGAAGTTTTTGTTTCACAGCGGAAACACTTAGGAAACATTGTACGATATTATTTTGTAATCCAATATCAATAAAGCGAAATTTTTGAACTGTAATTATTTACTTCATGATTTCACCAGAGGGAGACTTTGTACAAAAGTCGATTGCTTGGGTACCTCTGTCCCATTCATGTTTCTACCGTGAACCCGTTGTGTTTACATGGCTGTGTTTCGATTTGAAGGGTGGGATATGGCGTGAATTTACAGGGTACAGATAAATAACAACTAAGTCCTCAGGAATGGCAACGCATGGGGGGTATAATGGGCGAAACAGTATACTCAGTTACGTCCATGGTACTGTTCATGTCTATGGGCGACTGTTACCACTTTCCATCATGTGGGCCGTCAGCTTGTTGGCTATTCTAAGTTATATAAAAAAATGTACTTATTTAGGCTTAGTAAGTTAGGTAAGTTTATAAAATGTATGAAGAGGCGACTAACCTCCGAGGCGGAGCTCGGCGGCGGCCTGCGCGGCGTGGCGGCCGCGGCGCGCGAAGCACTGGTAGACGCCGCGGTGCGCGCGCGTCACGCCGCGCACCACCAGCTCGGCGCCGGCGCCCGCCGCCGCGCCGTCGTGCAGCCACGTCGTGCTGGCCGCTGGCTCGCTCGCGCTGCAGTTCAGCCGCACCGTGCTGCCCGTGTCCGCCACCTGTACACGTGGCGCTACAGGGGCGACGCTATCTCTCGTATCTATCGTTAGCTGTGTCCACAGCGTTACCTATATTATCATCATCATCATCACCGCATCAGCTTTTAACCATCCACTGCTGAACATAAGCCTCCCCTTTGGGGGGGTTTGCCAGTAGTTGTCACGTTTGGCAGGCGGGTTGGCAACTGCAGTTAAGCTTTGGAGATGTTTTAAGAGAGACGCTGTTGCCCAACCCTCGCCCTCCCTTACTCGCCTCTTACGACACCCACGGGAAAGGAAGGGGTGGCCTATTCTATGCTGGGACTATACGGCGATAAAGTTGTGTTAGTATGAGAAACTTCAAAATATTTTATCCCTTATGAAGCTGTTTCATTAATATTTTTTTCTCAAACATGCTTGTAAATGTGAGCATTATTTTGACAATCTTCTTAGAGATAAATCAAAATTGCCGTACTGGTCAGATACATGCGGGCAGCGGCCGGCAAAAGTTGTATGAAAATCCATATCTGTCGTGTTTTGCGGCCAGATAAATTACTATGTAAACTCATATCTGTTCTGTAATTTAAAAATGGAATGAACTTTTACTTCGAAACATGAAACCAAAGAGGTATCTAATAAAAGGTTTTATTTAAATTTCGGACTGGCTTGCAAATAGAAAGCTGTTTATTGAAAAAAAAAAACAAAGGAACAAAATGGCGCGTGAAAAATTATTATTGTTCGTTATTCGTCATTTCCGAAGTTTTTGATTTTCGCGCATTGTTTTAGAAAAGTACTATACAAGCCTTGGCCACAACTAGGCATTGATGGGCTCACGTATGTGTGCCTCGGCCACGCCTCGGCCCACATTTGCTCGTTCGTCCATCGATGCCACAGTTGCCGGCCGCTGCAGTAATGTACTATTATTCTCAGTCAATCAAGGTGTCCTGGACGAAGTGGCTGTTAAGATTAGTATTCAGTATGTACCACGACAGTGGGCGTTACGGTGACGGACAGGTTGTCTACGACGTCGAGCCTCATCTGTGCAGTGGCGTCCCCGTACACGTTGTACGCCTTGCAGAGCCAGGCGCCGGCGGCGGCGTGCGACACGCGCGTGAAGCACAGCGCCGCGCCGCCAGCCCACAGCCACGCGGTCGGTGACGTCTCCACTGGTTGCAGGCGGCCGTTCACCTCGCGGTACCATCTATACGAACCATCGTTTCACCAAACATAAAGATTTTTTTTTATGGGTGATAATGGAATGGTAACCCCACCCGCGCTATCGGTACACACCAGCGGGGCACCAGTGAAGGATGCTAGGTAAGGATGAAGCAAGCCAGTTAGCCCATCATGACGAATTCAACAAGAATTGTTCACGATGGTTTCCAGGGGGAACCACGTGGAGGTCGACCTAATAGGATAAATTGCTGGCAATGGGGCTGTCAAACACCATTGCCAACAATCCCTTTCCCCCTAGCATAAAGAATTATTAATACTGCTGTTATGGTAGGTCGCGTAATCCCTGAGGGACACTCCCTTTGTACGAGTGTCTGGATAGAGGAGATATTAAAGTAAATGGGAAAAGAGATATATATCTAGACAGGATAGTTTTTAGCACCCGGTTTTATCTGTCTAACTCGTGAGAGATCTGTTAATAAAATTCAGTGTAAGTTTTCATTGATGAGACAATTGTGTAACTATGTAATTACACAATGTAATTGTATGTAAATTTGGTAGAATTGACACTGGACGTTGACTGTTGCAGGTTGATTAAGACGACGAGGTTGGTAGAGATGTATATTTCAACTAAATTTCAACTGATTTATAACTGACTTCTGACTGACTTGGAACTGACAGATTTCGCGTTAAGATATTTAAATATTATTACTCAAATATACTAATTTAATTTTATGTTCTGTCATTGTTTTATATTCTGTGGACGAATGCCAGCTGGTAGGAGAATGTTGGCTCTGGATCGTTCTACATGACATCCTACTTACGTGTAGTGCGGCGGGGGATGCTGAGAGGCGACGCAGGGCATGCAGAAGTCGGCGCCGGCTGGCACTGATACTTCGTTGCTGCTCGCCACCACTCGGGGTGCAGAATTCGATGGTCCGGCTAACGTTAAAAATATTTTTATTTTATCTATCTGATGAGAAGTAGCAACTGTCGTCATGTTTGTTGTAATGGTTACTGTGTGGTAAAATGTGAATAATAATAGGCACATAGATAGGATATTATTCGTTATTCTTATCGATGCCTGAAGTTGTGCTTGCCTGGTAATGTTTCGATGAAGGTTCAGGCCCTCTAGACAAGTGACAAGTGAATTTGTCGATGGAATCGACATCGTTAGCGAGTCCGTCAGTTGGAATGAGTCATCCGGCATTGCTGTTTCATTCAATCTCATAGACTCGCTAGCGATGTCGATTCCATCGACGAATTCGTTTGCCATTTGTCTAGAGGCCCAGATCTACAGCATAGAGGTGGAGGCACATAATGTCTTCATCCTATATGGTAACACGCTCTTGGTATCCTCCTAAGGACATCAATATGTATTCAGTGATGTTCATGGTACAGTTACACCATAAACAATTACGGTTAATACTTTCCAACAGGTCGGCCTAAAAAATATATGTTAAGGTGATTCTATGCTGCCAATAATGTGTTAATCTTGAAGAAATGTCTCTTGTGTTATAAATTTCATGTTTCTATCCACTATTAATATAATTATGTAATAGTAAAGTTGAATACAAAGATATCTGTCAATAATCTCTGACAAGTACCTGTGGTACTCGGCTAATGTGCGTTCAACTTCCGATAGAGTCATTAAAGGAGATGAACTTTACCAACTTAATTAAATTGGCTCGAATGGCGTGGCGACGAAAGTAATTTGCACAAGGAATGCACGCATCGGTTTTATGGTATCTCTAATGCTACCTATTACGAGTATAAGAGCTGAAAGTTTAAATGCAACATTAAGTTCTCAATTACTCTAAAGGAGATATTTTATTATGGGCTTAGTTATTGTACAGTATTTAAAGAGAAAAAAATATACACAAGGATCATCGAATGTAATAAATATTTGTAAAGTAAGACGTTTTACTAAATTGTATAAGGTAACATTACGAATATTTTAGTGAAAATAACAAAAATAAAATAAACATATACAAAATTTCACGTATTTGACAGTTACTTAGCACTCTTCATAAGTAAATTTATTTCTACAAAATAACACTATTTTTTTTATAACACAGGGTTCACCTGATGATAAGTGACTATCGCCGCCCATGATCAATGCCCGCAACACCAAATGAATTATAAGTGTACTGCAGGCCTTTTAAAAAGGATTACCTATGACCTTTTTTCAAAACACTGCTTAACTACCACGTTTGATTTAGAATGCATAATTTTGCAAATTATGCATTCTAAATCAGTTTGTGTCAGAAAACAAAGTAGAATTTTGAATTATAGGAACATCTCTTGTCTTCGACTTTGTAAATTACACAATAGTTAATTGTAGTGTACGTAAACGGCGACTCACGTGCGACGGCCAGGTGCACGGTCCGCGAGCGCTTGGTGACGGCGGTGAGCGTGTGCCGCGCGAGGCAGCTGTAGGCGCCCGCGTCCGCCGCGGTCACGTCGCGCACCAGCAGCGTGTTGCCCGCCACCACGTAGCGGGACTCTGTCGCCGTCACGTCATTGTATGTATTGTTAAACTATTATTGTATGATATAAGTCAATAAAGGTTTATGTAGGATTGCTACATTCGTATTGCTCGGTTTACAAACTACGTTATTTTGTTATTATATCAGTAGTCGTCGCTACAATTGTGATGTTTTAAAATGTAAATTTTTCTACAGAATACTGTGTCGTAAATGTGAGTGCACGGAATAAAGAACGGGGACCCGTTAGAACTGTCCTTCAGTTAACGCATGAACGAGCTATCATACATCAAAACGAATGAACAGTAAAAATATTTCAAATAATACCCCGTGTATTTTGCAATCAATAAAAATATAACAGCTAATTTAGTATGTCTTAGGCGAGATCATAACAAGTTCTTATCCGGGCCATTCATCAGCGTCCCGCGTGAAATACGGCCGCCCGCCCCGCTCACCGCCCCGCCCCGGCCCCGCGCTCGCCCTCTCGCTGCGCAAATGAGATATTACTTTAATTAATATTACTTCGTCCACGACATAAATATGGGTTTAAGTAAAAACGCACCCCTGACGGCTGGGGACGCGCTTTTAATTAAGACTTACAGAAGTTTCTTGTCTATAGAAGTTTTTTGTAGCGCTAGTTAAAACTATTGTGTAAATGTGCAATCCCGAGTGCGTTGTATCCCACTCGCGTCGCACTCAGGGCTCACACCACTAGAAATACTGTTGGTCCCTAGATTCGAAAAAAAATTGCATTTTGTTAGACATTTGCTACACAGATACAGTTTTTGATATTACAGATGTGCGAGAACGTGTCAGTTAAAATATGTAAAAATAAGAATTCATTAAAGAAAGTTATACCTTTGGTTATATATAAAGAAATCTTACATGAAGGGATGCCTAAACAGACATACTATGTGACGAAAGTGAATTAGAGCGGAGGTATAGAGTAGACCGAGACTATTTGGTACATTAGATATATCTCGTACAACCACAACCAGTACACAGTACTCTCTTTTGGATATTTATAAAAGTTGTTCATGTAAGAGATGCGTATAAGAATTGGGCTATTTCACACTACTTCCTGTGATAAGTGTATGGTGTTAATTAATTATTATAAAATTTATTGTATATTGTTTTTATATCACAGAACTCTTAACCACTCCTCCTTGTAACATGTTAGGAGGCTCCAATTAGACATTCCTACCATCAGATCTTCTTTGCCTGACGTTTTGGTGCATTTGCATTTCTATCAATATACTATAAAATTAACAAAGTATATATAACAAACTTATAGGTCACGGTTCACATATTATAAAACGCAATTTAAAAAAATATCTTTTATTATTACGTTACGAGACAACTGAAAAACTATGGTCTGGAAAATAATAACATACAGTACACATCATACACACAGTCTGCACAGCACACATTCACACATCCATCCTTCACTCACGAACAATACCCATATCCATTTACCCAACTTCGCTTCTCTTAAGGGCATATATTAGTAACGTCTTATGATTGCTTGTATATTTATATTTATTGATTTCACTAACGTTGCAGTTTTTCGTGATTGCCTGCTCAGCAAATGATTATTATGTCAATTTTATATTGCTTTTCTTTTATGTTAATACCTGCCCACTATGTACTTTTTATTATATCAGATTGTGAATTGTATATCGGGTGCCCATGATACAGGTTGGCCTAATGTGAGGCGTGTGGGGGGAAAGGGATTGTTAGTAATAGAGACTGACAATCCCATTGCTAGCAATATATCCAACCAGGTCAACCTCGTCGAGGTACTCCCTGGAAACTATCGTAGTTAATTCCTGATAAATTCATCATGATGGGCTAACTGGCCTGTTTTCATTCTCATCTATCACCCTTCACTGGTGCTCCGCCAGCGTATCCCGTTAGCGCTGGCGGGGTTACCATACCATTTTCATCCATCAAAAAAAAAAGTGGGGCGCGTTGTATCTTGCGATTGTAACTTTGTGTTTTTGTTAAATAATAAATTTTTGTTCTATTTCTATCATGTGAAATAATTTGTGTATTTAGCACTGTCATGCCAATTGGTGAAAGTAATGTTTGGCAAAGTATATTGCACTTGTAAATAAATAAAGGAAAATAGAATAGTTTTATAAGATACTGCGAGATTGTGTTGCGTTGTTGATATTATCGGAGACCTGTAGTTGGTGCATCGACGTTGAGCACTTTGTCGTCGCGGTACCACACGGCGGGCCGGACGTGCGGCGCGCCGTCTGCGGCGCGGCACGTGAGCGCCGCCACGCCGCCCTCCGCGGCCGCCGCCGCCACCAGCATGGCCTCCCAATTCACGTCGGACACTACGGTTCCGTAGTACGTTATCAGCATTATGATATATTTACAAGACAATTTTATTCTTAACATTTATCATTTGTGAAATTGGCTATGTAAGAATAATTTTTTTATGCAAGTTAAAAAGGCAAACAAGCTGACGGCCCACCTAATGGAACGTGGTAACAGTCACCTATAGACATGAGCAATACCATAGAGTCTATTTCGCCCATAATACCCCCATGCGTTGCCATAAGTGACTTTGACACTCATTTCCTTCTACTCATTGCTCTCTTTCTTATACAAAAACTACCAACTACGTCATCTCAATAAACTGTAAGGGAAGAATATTGTTCTATTATTGCCACATCGGCCGCAGATGACTTGTTATAGTGTTTTGTCTTCAGTTTTACTGCCCTCGCACTGGACTGTTATGTTTGTTTCCCTTAATCGCCTTTTACGACATCCCGTGGATAAAAACCTTAACGCTTCTTGAACATAACACTAATGTAAATAGCATAGAATAGCTGTTTTTATATTAACCAACTATTTCATTATCATTCTATCAGACTATATCCTATCTAGGACAACAGCTGTGTATACATGCATAATTATTTCTTTCATTTAATATTGATATTTATAGCATTTGCATAAGACATACTTAACGAAACTCTACAGATATTTATTAATTATGAAAAATTGTATTGTATTGTAAAATCTTTATTGTACATTTTGAAATATTTAAATTCGAGTATAACCAGTATAGGCGGTCAGTTGTTACTGTTCCGACTAAGAAATTATTCGGATAGTTGATTGTTTTATTAAGTGTTCACGAGTAGTACTTTTTAACATTCAAGTGTACAAGTAAACGAGATTTTGATTATTTACAACGGTGGCTAGTAATAAATCGAGCGGGTCCGTGTGTCCGTGCACGCACCTGGCTGCAAGGTGACGTCCCTGGAGAGCGCGACGCCGTGCGCGTTGGCGGCGCGGCAGCGCAGCGTGGACGGCGCGGGCGTGTAGCTGCCCGCCGCCGCCGGCAATACTTCCAGCGTGCCGTTGTTGTATATTCTTCTGTTTAAGAGACACTTAGATTTTTAATACATTTCAAAAAGTCGAAGTTTCTCAATTTCAGCTATACTGTATACCATTTATTATATTTTGAGATTTTAATTTTGAACTTATTCTAGATTTAAGTATATTGACACAAGTATTTGTATAAATATTAATTTGAAATAATATAATATTAAAACATTAATCAGTATTAATTATATTAAAATTATAATGTAACGGATTCATTACGTTTGATGGATACTACTTATAAACATTTGCAAGCTATTAAATATGGCGAAACATTCTGAACATTAAAAAAACAAACTGTAACATCATATTGTCTTTGTTTCTGGCAAATAAATTATTATTATTATTCATTGTGTTTATTTTTATGTTTTATTATTATTATTTCAGCCGTTAACTGTCCACTGCTAAACATAAGCCTTTCCCATAAGGTGAGTTTTGCCAGTAATTGGGTTGGCAACCGCAGTGAGGCTTTTAGGGATGTTTTAAGAGGAACGCTGCTGTCCATAGCTCGCCCTTCCTAAGACGCCTCTTACGACATCTGCGAGAAAGGAAGGGGTGGCCCATTCTATGCCGGGGCACACACGACAATAACTGAGTTGAAAAATTTATTTTTATATGCTTTTAGAATAGTTTTAGCGAAGAATAGATTTTAAATGAAAACAACGGGTAATGCTATGAGTGTAGTCGGTTCTTTATGGAACACAATCTTAAATTTAAAGTCCTTTTTTTATTGGAATCGACAAATATGGTAAGTTTATAGAGTAAGATATTATAATTAAATTTTTGTTATCCATTTATATAGGGTTAAATCGAAATCACTAGGATCCTTTTACAAACACAAACACTCCCTGTGTTTTACAAGTGAAACAAGAAAAATCATTTAGCCTCCTGTGCTAATATGGCGAGTATTACAGGGACGATTGTATCAAAGAATATTTTCACAGTTTCTAAAAAGAGAAAATTTCAAGTTTGTTTGTACTTTTTGTAGATACATTATGCCAATATGTTTCAGTTGGACAATTCTTTCTGCAATCAATAGGAATTCAGCTTTTTTGACACTTTTGTTTTGTGATGACTGATATTGTATATTTATTCAGTACAATAATATTTTGAATATATGTCTACCGAAACACCCACAACGAAGTCTTTGTATCGCTGACAACTGGTCGAGAGAAAAAATATGATACGTTTTTAAATATAAATAAATATAAAAGCTTAAATTAAAAAATACCACATTGACATTTTAGATGGTTTTAGTAAGAATATATATTTTTTTTATTTTTTTTTTTATATAACTTAGAATGGCAAACAAGCTGACGGCTACCTGATGGAAAGTGGTAACCGTCGCCTATAGACATGAGCAGTACCATGGATATAACAGAGTATACTATGCTACGCCCATGATACCCCCCATGCGCTGCAATTCCTGAGGACTAAGGTCTTATTCCTCTGTACCCTGTAAATTCTTTGTCATATCCCATCTTTCAAACCGCAACACAGCTATGCAAATATAACTGCTTCACGGCAGAAACACCAATGGGACAGATTTGATTTAGATAATCGAGATTCTACCGTATATAGAAGAATACGTGATCAATTTAGATTAAATGCAGTGTAAAATACTCGCGTACTGATCGATGACGTGAAATACGAAGTCATTATAAACAAATCTAAATATGTATTTTTAAATTTAAAATTATTAAATATGTAATCATCATCTTCCTACCCTTATCCCAATCATTTGGGGTCGGCGTGATATGATTTTATCCATATTACAAAAAGATTTGGTTTTTAGTTTTACGACCGGCCACCTGCCTGACTATTGACTGATTATTAAATATGTAATATAATATTTAATTCTATCTATTTACTGTTTCCTAATTATAATATTACATTGATATTACCATGTGCAAATTACTTACTCTTTACAATAAACTTAGGCAATGTTATATTACACATCTTACAGGTGAGGAACTTAAAACATTAGCTGGGCGTGCCGGGCGAGTTAAGATGTGATTCATCATGACTCAACACATTAGGGTAACGATGTACGCACCCTGTTACAAACGAGTAAGACAGTTTCTCAGCAAACTTTCGCCAGTTTTAATAACCGGCGAGCCGTCGCCGGGAACAATTAGTGTGGACAAATGATGATCGCTCTCATTTACCTTAATTATTAATTTTTCCCTGACAACGTTAAAAATGGCGTTCATCAGCACTGTTTGTTCTGAAGAACGTGGCGGACGTCTGCAATTTTTATCTCTCTATAGTTATATCGCGGCAGATCCCTAGCGGGACCGTCGTGGATGGATAGGTGCCATTTGTTTCCGAGCTGTCATTTATATACGCAGGTACGAGTCGCTGGCGGGGAACGCCGTAGGACGGGGAATCTTAATGGTTATTTTTTCCCATTACAATCAATATTATATTGCTTTCCTATATCTGTTTTAGGAAAGAGATTCAGGGATTTTTTGCACTACCAAATATATAGTATCATATTTAAATCAATATACAGGTTTTTTAAATATTAGCATATTAAAAAAGTACTGCATCAGCAGAAGTTTACTACATTAATTCACTTATTTTAATAAAGTTTTTAAAAATCATCTAAGAATTTTTTATTTTCAAACCAGAGTAAATTATTGTACTTAGGATTTTGGACATATTCTTTTTTCGAAACAGAGATATCTTTACCCTCTTATTCATACAAACTGAAACCTCTTACCAATCTCTTTTAACTATAACATTGTTTTATCACTTTTAATTCAAACTGAGAATTTAGCACAAAGTAAAAAGACAGAACAGTTGAGTAACTAAAACAGGTTTACTTCTATTTTTGTTCTTCTATTTTACAATTTTTTACAGGTTTGACGTTTTTATGAATAGAGGGTTAATCCCTAGGAACGGTAATGTATGATTGTCATTAAATTTTTTTAGAAGTAGTTTATGACATTTATGGTACAGCTAATGTTTAAAGCCGATAGTAATTTTGCATTAAATGGGTGGTTAGTTTCTTTAACATTCTTTAACATTAAAATGTATAAAAAAATAATCTATAATGCTTATTGAATAATGTTAAATGAGTTACATGAGTTACGCGTTCGACGCGGTAGTCAGTGTGACGTGAACTGAATTGTAAACCTGACGAATAAATCAGTATATGAAGTAATTGTGCATTCGGCTCGTACAGTCGTGATGTTCATATGGTCCTACGTATACGATAGTGTAACATGCCCTTGGACCTGTACGAGAGCTGAGTGCGCGTGCGCGTGCTCGAGCGTGCGCGCCCCTGCCCTGGCTGTCGGAAGTGGCGTGGCAGCTCCACCGCGTCAGGTTGTCAACATGACGGAGCGCTATTGACAAGACCATTTTTCTTCTACTTTTTATTGCTCATTGAAATAGTCGTCTCGGATTTCTGCGAGGCGCCCCTTGTGCAGTGGGATGGAAGAAAATATTCTTATTGAGTTATTTTCAATGATCACATCAAAGTGGATGTCTATATTTCGTTATTAAATACATGCATTCACACTTTTTATTCACGACTAAATATTTATTACACGACGGAAAAATAGAAATGATCTGAATATACAATAGGTTGGATTGACAGTTAGTTGTTTTCACTCTATTATATAAGTTAAAGAATAATACAAAAAAAAATAGTAAGCTAATAAAGTACAACAGGTAATTTTACCGCTGAAGCAATTTCTTCTAGACAAACAATGGATAGAGTGGGATAGAAAGAAGGCAACGCTCACGGTAATGAAACGTGTTAATAATTATGTAAGTCTCTAATGAATTATTACTAAATTTATTAGATACTATTATTTATTATTACTAAATGTGCTCAACATTTAAAAACTATTTAAAAAATATGTCCACGTTTGACGATTTTTTATATAAAACTTAGAATGAAAAACAAGCTGACAGTCCACCTGATGAAAAGTGGTAACCGTCGCCTATAGACATGAGCAGTACCATGAAAATGTCTATATGCATGTGCAAGAAAGGCGTGACGCTGTGACGCAAGCCGTCGTACGCCCCCTGAAGAATACTTTCGGATGAAGTCGAAACAATTGTCAGATGTGACAAACACAGTACGTTCGTAAAATTGCCGGTGTGCATATATACAATCATATAGACATATTGTCTATATCTTTCTTCAGTCGTATACTCTTGACAGAGTGGTTGTGGTTTTTATGATTACAGTGGATCGTCAATGTGGTCCTTCTTCGTGATTGAGGTCCTCGCAATGCGTCTCCATCTACATCTGCTCACAGCCGAGCGAGAGCATTCCACAATAGACTGTTGTGTGGCCATTTTGATGAGGTCAGTTCATCGCGTTGGTGATCTAATCCAAAAACCTTTGCCTAATACCGACCCTTGAACAATTAGATTTGTCTATATATGTACACTATGTAGACAATTGTCTATATAGACGACAAATATAGACAATTTTTATTTGAATACATAAAATTTATATTTTTTTTAGAATGGCAATAACCCACCTGAAAGTGGTAACTGCCATCTATAATAATGAATAGAAAATATATTGTAACAGTTTCGTAAGCACACATTATATTTTATTGTAAGCGGTGCGGCAGACGAAGAGGAAGATTGAGGAAGATTGAAGCTATAGAGCCCAGCCGTTCATATTCGAAGAGTTCTGAACGCCGTCGTTTTTATTTGTGATGGTGCTGTGAGCGCTTACAGCTTGCGCTTAGCGGGCACACCTCTGAGCTCTCTCGATTTAATTACACTTAAAATATGAATATGTATTATACAATAGTTCACCTGAGGCCGGGCCTGTCATCGAGCGGCGTGCCGTCGTCGGCGAGCCAGAGCACGGCGGGCGGCGGCGTGCCGCGCGCCGCGCACCGCACGCGCACGCCGCTCCTCACCGAGTACGGCACCAGCGACGGCGGCTCCGCCACGAACCACGGGCCCAGCGGCGTCAGCTCGGCGCCGCCCTCGCACCGCGCCCCTACGCACGATAACAACACGTGTCTTACTAATACAGTATACTCGTAAATGTAACTAGATGATACCTGTACATGGGGGGTAATTGAAAAAAATAATATAAGTGGATCTTAATAAGAGCAATGGAAACGAAAACAATATTTATCAGGAATTTTGTCTGTCAGTCAGTCTGTTCGTGCAGCATTACGCAAAAACTACTGCATCGTTTTTGATGCGGTTTTCATAGTTGTATTTCTGAAGGTCTAACTTAGGAACTGGTGTGTGTTTTATCCTGATATGCTATCTAGAAGTGTTCTATTCCATTGGTTTTTCTTCGTATTTTGCTCGTGGACTAAAATTACTACAATGAAAATCTAGATTTATTAATACTTTACTAAACTAGACGTTATTTTGCGGAATTCTATATTTAGTTATAGTTATTTGATAAGAACTATTTGTTTATCACGGCATAATTTCTAAATTTAATATACATTTGGTTTGAAGGGTGGGATATGGCGTGAATTTACTGGGTACAGAGGAATAACATCTGAGTCCTTAGGAATGGCAACGCATGGGTATCATGGGCGAAACAGTATACTCTGTATTGTCCATGGTACTGCTCATGTCTATAGGCGACGGTTACCACTTTCCATCAGGTGGGCCGTCAGCTTGTTTGCCATTCTAAGTTGTATAAAAAAAAAATACATATTTAATGAATATAAAAATGTTCGTTTCAATAAAACATTATTATACTTTTACACATGAGTTAACAAAATGTAAATTATCCACAGCATTTCGTTTCTGATTCGTGTCTAATGAGAGATAATGTTGAAGCGTTCCCTTTTATCTCACCGATAAAGTCGTCTCAAAATGATATTCCTACGAGGTCCTTTAAAAATTTTATTTTCGTTCTTTTGTTTATGAAACAATGGCGGGTAGAGGGAATGCCTCAACTTTTTCGGTTTTATTAATTCTCTCCTTGGCTACACACAGTCCTCCCGCGGTGCACATAGCTAAGTTGACTATACGGATTCTTTTTTTAAACAAAGAGTAGGTTTAAGCCACTTAAAACATTAATGACGCAAGTTGACTTTAAACCATTTGACCCAGAAAAGTGTCGGAAACCAGGGGCGGCGTACTGCGGTGCGACCTGTGGTCGTTTCACACCACGTGCAGTTCGGACCACGATGTGTCGCTCAAACGATAGACGAATCATTTACTTGTTCACCACAATACAATAATAGCTACTTATAAACATATAAAAAAATACATATTTGTCAATGGTACGGGTGATTTTTACTTTCACTCAATATCGTTAATCGACAAAATAGATTTATAATGAGTGATTTGGACTATTGTTAACCATTTGTAAATGTAATGAGTTCCAAAATACTTTTCTCCTGACTAGTAGAAAAATAGTCTTAATGCAAAATAAATAAATCAGTGGGTGACGTAGATTTTTTTTCTATCACAATGGCACTTCATTTATATATTTTACAAAATCTAATATAGACTGCCATTGGAAGTGGACAGAATTCCTTCTAGGATACCCTGTGTTACGGTATTCAGAATTTATTAGATTATAAATTATTATGCGGTATGTAAGGCTCCACTGAAAAAAATATCTCTGCTTTGTACATATCACGTCGCGGTACGAATTGCACATGGTGTGAAACGCCACGTCGCCCGAGGTGCGCGCCGTCGAGTCCGGCCCCGAAGTTACGCCGCGAGTATTCACGACAATTGTCCTCAAACGTGTAATTCAGTTAAGTTTGTCGGTGTTCGTTCGTCGGAATTAGTTTCAGCTCCGCTTTTATAATTAACTGTACCGGGAGCGACATTAAAAGAAACAGAGTTATCGAGTCGCCGAGTCGTCGAGTTGTTTCGTAATTAAACGCCGTCGACGGCCCGGCGCTCCCGCTTCCACTTTCGCTTTGTTGTCAATTGCTACACGAAATTTCAATTATTGCGATTCGCGAACTCAACGTCGAGAATATTACAAGGTTGCGCGACTGTCGATGGGCCTGTGTAACGTAATTACATTAAGTTGTTTGCAGGACGTTTACAATGGCCGAAGGTGCGGTCCCCAATTCTTTGTCGTATGAAAGCAATTTCGGAAATTAGGAAGCGGGTAAAGTAAGTTGGCATTTGATGAAAAATTGATGAAAAGATTTGTCAGAGAATGGGTACAAAGGTGGGTCGGGAGGTTCTGGAGAGCGCATTGTGATTGTGTACTTACGTGGCTGGGCGGCAAGTAGGCAGGTGAGCAGCAGCGGCAGCAGTGTGCCCCGCGGCGCCGCCCGTACCCGCGCCTTCATTTTTCACCGCGCTGTGTACAAATAAATGGAAGAATGATACACGTGACGTCACTGAATCGTTTTCGATAGTTGCAACTAGTCCATCTATTTGCTTGCTGACAGCTCATAGTAACAGTTATCTTGTAAAAATGTTATTTAACGTCTTGCAAAATTGTTTATCAGTAATTCTAATAATTATAAACAAGAAAGTTCTTTTATTGCCGAATTAGGATTTTTTTTATTAGCAAATTGTGTTGGTAGACCACAGGTTAATAAATAGGAAATTTATTCCTGATTTACGAGAATAAAGCAGACGTAGGTTGGTAAAATAGCTATTGATAATGTTTCCTTTATTACACGTACCTTTCCGTTCGTTTACTTCGTTTCGTTTGCTTTTATTGTAATCTCTCCGAGAATAATAGCTAATTTGTCGATATGTGTACTCACTCGTAAATCCAGGTCGCGTTTGACTTTCATCTTTAAAGTATCTACTTATCTGCAATATATATTGTCAACCCTGGTACTTAATTTTGCTCGGCCCATATTGCGTAATAGAAGTCTGGTATGGTCGGGGTGAAAGGGATTGTTAGCAATAGAGTTTGACAGCCCCATTGCTAGCAATATGCCCTATTAGGTCGACCTCCACGTTTTCCTCCCTGGAAACTATCGTGAACATTCTTGTTAAAATGTGGCTTACAATTCGACTTCTTTTAAAATAAATCCATTGAGAGTATTTATAACAAGCATATTATAATGTTATTTTGGTATACTTTTATTTTTACCATTTTATTTAAAATCTTTCCTTTTGCTTCTTTTCTTCTGAAAATTTATTTCAAGTGAAGTTTCCAATTAAGTCGCGGCAAGGAGGAAAGATTTGAATTGTTGCTTTTTTAATTACAAAATAATTACGTATTGCTACTTTGATGTGAAATAATAATATCTCATTTTCCGTTTTACTCATTTTGATAAAATTAAAATATTAAAAAAATAGCAAATTTTTTGTAATATTTATAGCTAGCGATCTGCCGCAGCTTTGCACGGGGGCTACTATATCTACTCATTTAATGCTGCGGCGTATCTATCTAGACCATTGTTTCTCAATAATTTTTATGTCGCGACCCACGAAAAATAGTCGAATGATTTACAATTCAATCGGATAATCCGAATGAATTGCTCAGTCGAATAATCAATAGTCGGATTAGTAAAGTCGAGCATTGTTACGTTAAACGAATCTTTCGGGGTGTTATTATTAATATTATGCGTATACGCAGTGTAGGACGACCCTCCACTAGATGGAGTGACGGCCTGAAATGCGTTGCAAGGAGTCAGTGGATGCAGGTGGCTCAGGTGTCCGTTACTTATGGCAGTCTATGGGGGAGGCTTATGTCCAGCAGTGGACGGATGATGACTGAAATGATAATGGCATAGTACAGACTTAGATAATATAGATAGAGCATCGAGCCACAGAATTGAGTCAACATTTTGAAATAAAAAAATTTAAGAGTGTTCTATATACATACTTACGCATATCTTGACGTATTATTTAATAAATAAAATGAGTGCTTATACATTAAAAAGATGCAGAAATTATAAGACAAAATAAATATAGAAGTTATAAAGAAATCACTCATAACTGTTTATCACGCAAAATTGTATGAATTGTATTTCTATGGAGACCCTCTATCTATATAATCTAAGGGTACAGATAATGAGGAGGGATTTTTTGTCAATAATTATTGGCAATCACTCGTCTCAAATTTCCTTAATAGCTGAGAGAATGTGAGTGACGTGTGGTGACGTGCCCCGCGCGTGCTCAGACGCCGAGCGGACTCGGGAACAGAGGGTCTACCATGAAATGTTTTCCGAAATTGTGGGGCCGATCGAAACAAAAATTTAATGTCAAAATTACATAATACCATAACATACCATTTAAAAATATCAAAAATGTTTAAATATCGTTCCTTTGGATTTATATGGTATGATTTATGACGAAAAAAATCTTAAGCTTCATTTACTGTGCCGATTTCGGTATGAACAAAAACATGAAATGGAGTCCGAAAATTTGGAATTCATTTCATGGTAGACCCCCTGGTACTGACGTGGCGGCTCGTGTCGCGACCAAACACATGTGTAGGACACATCCATTAGATACAGCCACCACGTGTTGTAATATTATATTCTTATTGTAATAAATACAAGTACATTTTGGTAAAAACAATAGCTTCATTCGTGATACATTTATATTGACTGGACATAGGTCGATGAACGATGAATGTTTCGTAGACACATTAGATTAGACACGTAACAACGTGTGCTTTTATTCAGTATAGAGAAGCGGTTTCGCTTATAAAATTTGTTATTATTATTATTTCAGGGCGTTTACCGTTCACTGTTGGACATAAGCTTTCCCCATAAGAGGATTTTTGCACATAAGTTAGGGACTGTTGAATATAAGTCTTCCTCTACTGGATAAACCCTCCAGGTTTAGCCAGTAGTTGCCACGCTTGGCAGGTGGATTGGCAACCGTAGTTAGGCTTTTAGACATATTTTAAGTTAGACGCTGCTGCCCATGCCTCGCCCTCCCTTAGTCGACTATTACGACACCTACAGGAAAGGAAGGGATGGCACACGGCGATTATAAAATTAATTTAATATAATATAGATGGATTAAGAACATTGTGAGTCGTGTGCTAAGTGACAGGTGGCTAAAATATGCAAATTTTGGCTCTTAAAAAACAAAAAAAGTCGCGTAAGACTTCATATGTGATGGAAAGAGATCCTCGACCGGTTCCACTAAACTGGTACAGTACTAAACTGTACCAGTTTTACTGATTAAAACTGGTAAAGCAGTTTAGGGGTTTTTTCCCAGCAGTGGAACACTATAGGCTATAACTGATTGATTGATTTTAGAACATCTTTTCTTTGTAACTTACTTCGAATAAATTGAAACATGTCTAAAAACATATTTAAAAACAAGCTTTTTATAATGTAATCCGTCTTCTTGCAGTGGTGGATATGCTGAATTTAGTATGATATTAAGATTTTTATCGTTTTCTACTTTTCATGACCTTTCATTTGAGACCCATATTTAGGGCGATGAAAAAATGCATAATTTGGCGGCCAATTTCAAAATATTACAATATTAAGTATTACATATTATATTATTACCAATACTAAATGTACATGCACAGTTTCAGACCAATCGAATATCAAGAAGTTTTAATATGTTATCTAAATAAACTAATATACAAACTTTGCAAGTTAAGTACAATCTTGTAAATACAATGAAAGTTGTACAAAAACCTTAAGTAATGAATAGTGTATTCTAAGGATTTTCTATTGAAAGTAGAAAATCTATAGAAATTCGTAGTCCACTCATTGTGCTGCTCTACGATACAGTTAATACGGGAACTATCTTCTACGCGAACTCGTAGCTCTGCTACGAGATTGTAGTTTCGTAGCACTTTTGCTACAAAGTTGTAAAAGTCTGTTACGGCGAGTTAGAAACAGTTTTAATCGCTTTGTAAAAAGGTTATTTTCACACATGTGTCTACGTTCATATACATCTACGTACAAATGCTTCCATGATGCTTGTACGCAGTATTTATAGCTTGGAGATTTGATCTGATATTTTCATAAAAACAGAATAAATAATTTAAAGTAATAATTTATAGGAAAATGAATAATTAAAACTTATTAAAGCCAATATATCCACGTTCGTGTAAAAATATTTACGAATAGAGTAAGATCTAACTGTATGTCAAGTTATTAGGCCATTATATTTAACTACTCGTGCGTCTGTCTCTGTCCCCATTGTTGTACAGTGTATGTTTGACCTCTCCTTGCCAAATACCATATGTGATGTAGTTTTACGTCAATTGCTGGACACTATTACAGCACCAAATAGCAAACAAGTTCACGTTTACATTTATATATTTACTAGCCTATATGTTATGAAATATAATGTTTCTGGGTATTTTTTACTCAAGTCAGTTCATCCGTTTATGCGTAATTAAGTAATAAACATGCAAACATCTAACTATATTTACGAACTTTCATATTTTTAATATTTGTAAGATAATATGAGTAATAATAAGGGCCATTTGGTCTCGGCATAAAATTGGCCACCCCTTCCTTCCCGTGGGTATCATAAGAAATGACTAAAGGTCGGCGAGAGATGGGCAGCAGCATCCCTCTTAAAACATTTCCAAAGCCTAATTGCGGTTACTAACCCGTCTGTCAAGCGTGACAACTACTGGTGAAACCTTCTCAAGGGGGAGTGTTATGTTCAGCTGTGGACAGATAGAGGCTGATATGATGAAGATTAGTAATAGAGTAAGAATTTTTATTTCACATTTTTCGACTTAAATTTCTTGACAGAGTATTTCAGCGGGACAGTAAACACAAAATTATACTTTATTTTTTTTATACAACTTAGAATAGTAAACAAGCTGACGGCCCACCTGATGGAAAGTGGTAAACGTCGCCTATAGACATGAATAGTACCATGCACATAACCGAGTATACTGTTTCTCCCATGATACCACCCATGCATTGCCATTCCTGAGGACTCAGGTGTTATTCCTCTGTACCCTGTAAATTCACGCCATACCCCACCCTTCAAACTAAAACACAGCCATGTAAACACAACTGCTTTACGGTTGAAACACGAATGGGACAGAGGTACCCAAGAAAACGACTTTTGTACAAAGTCTCCCTCTGGTCTAGTTTGGTGTTTATTTATTTTCAGCCACACCTACTGGTGGAAAAATATTTCTACATTCGAAATTGTAAGAAAATCGTTGCAGATTATATAACAAATTGCACAATTTGGCTGCAATCAGACGCGCACGTGACTGTGACGTGGCGAATGGTAACCAGACTCTGAACAGTTTCGCATAAGTTGGACATTACTTCTGTAATTTCCATATTTATAACATTTATTTATGGGAACCATAAAAACTTTGCTACAAATTACAAAAATAGGGCAGTGTACGATAACAGCTACATTAGTTAAAAAAAAAAAACTGTG